GAGCGCGGCCGGGCTGGAGGTGCCGGCCCCACAGCGGGCACTTGGGCACCGGGCAGGGTCGGGCTTATCATGCCAGAAAGGCTTGGATTGGAAAGGACCTTAAAGCTCATCCAGGCCCACCCCCTGCCATGGGCAGGGATACCTTCCACTAGACCGGGTTGTTCCGAGCCTGGCCTTGGACGCTTTCCATAGGGCAGCCACAGCTTCTCTGGGCTACCTGTGCCAGGGCCTCACCACCCTCACAGGGAAGAGTTCCTTCCTGACACCTGATCTAAATCTGTCCCTTTTACTTTGGAAACGTTCCCCTCTTGTCCTGTGTGCATCACCTTGCCATCCTTGGAGGCACACAACATGCTTGCCTGCACCTCAGTGGTGGCACCTTTGTCCTCCTGAATCCATGATCTCCTGAAACAGTACTTGGGGAGCTCAAGGAGCAGGGCCTGTTCCTGTGCCCTGCCTGGCCCGGGCAGCCTGGGGTGGGCACAGACAGTCTGGGTGCCAGCATTGGGTTTGCAGCGCCCGTCAGGATCTGTCCCTGACCTGGAGAGAGAAGTTTGGTGTTGGCAGGAGCCTCAGCACAGCAGTTTCTCCGCTGCTATGGGAAGGTTTGACTTTTCTTGTGAGAGCTCAAGGAACCTTTGCTTTGGCAGGGACATGGAGATAACATTTCCACCCCAAAGTGTCGATCTGTTGTGTACTGAACCTTTTGGAAAATTTGGGAGAGCTGGGTTTCTCTATCAAGGCACTACTGCAAAATGCTGAAGATCCTCTTTTCCCAGAGTTTGATCTGTTTTGTCTGTGCTCCATGGAATTAAGGAGAGGAAGGTGAGAGCCTTGGAGGACGTGTCCTGGGTCCTCCTGCCTTGTTGTCACTGCCACCTCTCCTGGAAGTCCTCCTCCCTTGGACACCCCTTGGCACTGTGGCATCATCGTTGGGGCTCTTCCCCTTCCGCTCCAAGCGCATGACCCCCGATGAAATTCCAGCCCATCTCTCCTTGGGATGTGCCAGCTCCTCTGGACGTGGATTTCTCCCAGTTGTGCTGGCTCTTCCTGAGGCCCTGAGCGCACTTCCATCACTCCTTCCCCCTTCCCAAACTCATAAAAAGCCATTGAACTGTTCCCACCTGCAGGTCCTTGATGCCCTGTTTCTGCTCTGGCTCCCATCTGCTGCTGGGCTCTTATCTCATGCCCTGAGCCCTTGGCACCAGCCTGGAATTCTTACTGGATTTTGTGGGATTCTTTCAAGGTTTCCCTTCACAGCCCTTGTGAAGATCTCACCTCCACACCCCTCCTTTTATCCAGGTCCTTCCTTAACCATCTTTCCCTACTCAACCAATCCTTGACAGCAGCCGCGATGCTGCCATGCCCTGACCCCTGATGGTTTGGTTACTCCCTGATTCCACAGATCTTGCTCCCTGTTCTTCCCTTCGTGGTACACTTCATCCCGTGCCCCAGTGTGCCTTCTCGCACTGTGGGAAGTCCCTGTCCCAGCCAGAGGAGCTCTGTGGTGGTGCCACAGCGAGTACAGGTAGCTCTGGGTTCCTTTCTGAGCCTTTAACTCCAAAGCTCCCATGGACACATCAGACCTGCTCTTCCCAGGGAGCTCCTGGTGAGGGGGAGTGTGGTGGGGTTGGGGCTCCTGGGCACAGAATTGTGTCCTTTCAGGAAAAACAGGGGTGCTGGTATTTGTTGTGCTGCTTTTGGTTTGGCATCTTGTTTCCGAGCCATGGGACACAGCCAGAGCTTCCCAACAGGAATGTTCCTGCAAGGATGTTCTTCTGTACCTTCACCTTTGGGAAGTTCCTGATGGGAATCCGAGTGTCCCTGCAGGAGAGTTTGGTCAGAGTGTTTGAGTTAAACATGACTCTGAAATGCCATTTTTATTGGTGCCTGTGTGGCTGGTTTGGAGCAGGTGGCGGGGCTGGGGTGGGCTCAGCTCTGCACTTTCCCGTCTGCCCCTGTTTCCTCACGGGTTTAAGCTGAGAGCCATTCTCCCATTGCATCTAGAGACAGTCGATTTTCTTTGTGGATCATGTCCACAGCCTTCCTGTGGACCCAGCATGGATCTCTCCTCCTGCCATGGTGTGGGTGTATCTTGGTTTATAACTGTGCCTCTAACTTTGCTCTGGGTGAGTGGTGTTCTGTATGGTCAATGCCAGGCTGGAGCCCCACTCCAGATTTCTTTCTGCTGTGTAGATGCCAGATCATTTAAATCAAAGGTTTATAGTTCTTTGAAATCTATTTTATGTTATTAAGATCTGGAATCATTGCTCTCTGCTGGTGAAACGTCTCTGGGATGGAGGGAACATCCAGTGAGCAGCAGCAGAATTGGCACTCGAGCACTGGGTTGTACTAAATCACAGAAGCCCCATTCCAATGGGATGATGATCTGAGAGATTATCGAGGCTGGCATTTTGGAGAAAGCTGCCTGCAGATTGTTTTGGAGCACTGGGCGAGTGCAGCCCTGCTCCAGCTGAATTCCCAGCCCTCCGGGCAGAGCAGAGCACTCTGTGCTCCCAAAACCCCTCCTCAGCCTGCCTTGTCAGCAAGTTCAGGGCACAGGTTGAGAGCAACAGGTTCTGGTCACAAGTCCTTGGCTCGGTGAGTCTGTGCTGGAAAAGCTTGTCCTGGGGTGTGGGAGCTGGGGCTCTGTGCGGGGCGGGGGGTGAGCAGCTGCTGGCAGTGACTCGTGCCTTGGCTCCATGGCTCGTGCATGTGTCCTGGGGCAGGGACAGTGGAGGGACAGGGCTTGAGGAGCAGGGACTCCCCAGGGCTCTGCCCTGTGCCCTTCCCTGCCCGAGTCTGGTGTGATGCTTGGGGGCGCAGAGCCAGAGCGCTGCTGCTGGCAGGGCCTCGGGGAGGCTTAAGGACATCGACCCGTGGGGATTTGAGCACCCATCTGAGCTAAGCCTTTTCTTGTGTTCTCAGCTCTACCTCCCCTCAGAGGAGGATCTTCTGTGCAGGATCTTCATTTTGAACTTGAGTTCACTTGTGAAGTGGCCCTGGTGCTGGGAGGGCAGCAGGGATGGAATGTTTCTGCTGGGAGCCTTTTCAGGTTATGAGTGAGGGGTGAGCTCCCACCCAGGGCTCTGGACCAGGAAGAACGCTGAGCTTCCTGAGAGGAACCCTGGAGACCAGGACAGGTGCAAGGTGTAGCTGTGCTGTGGGAAGTGGCTCTGCCAGTGTAGAGACACCTGGAAAATGAAGCAGGATGGAGAACTGAGGGATCTGTAGATAAAAACTGATTCTGGTGTGGGCAGGGGAGAGGTGACAACACACGGGTGTGTGAAGTAACACCATCTCTTGGCACTGTTCCTCTAGTTTAATCCTTGGGAATGTCCTTTAGTGAAGTGCAGGAGCTCCCTGCCAGCAGTAGCATGTGGATGAGCTTCCCGAGTTCACCCACTCTGAGGAGGGCGTTTGATGAAGTAACTCAGTTTGGAGCTTTTCAGCATGAGGAGGGTCAGAGCAGCAAGCACAGCTGGGGGAGTCTGAAAATCATTTGTAGATGGAAGATGTCCTCTCTAGTCCCTAGGGTTTGCCTGCTGGACCTTGGAAACTCTGGAACTTCCCCGAAAGCAGCACTGATACTGGGATCAGGGTGTGGCTGTTGTGGTACTTCTGTCTGATGCTGACTGAATTTTCTCTTGTCCTCAGCTGCTTTTCCTCATCGGCTGAACCTTTTTTACTTGGCCAATGATGTCATACAGAACTGCAAGAGGAAAAATGCCATTGTCTTTCGAGACACCTTTGCAGAGGTGCTTCCTGAGGCTGCTTCGTTAGTGAAGTGAGTAATGAACTAACAGGCTGTTGGGAGGCTGAGGGTCTCAAAAAGGGGGAATTTTTCTTCTGACATCTCAAACTGTTTAGAAACATCATCAGAACTTCAAGGATTCTGTTAGAGCAGCCATGTGTTTGCAGAGTGGGCCAGAGTGGCCATGAGCTGGGCTCTGATTTGCACAGGAGGGTGGTTTGAATCAGATTATCTTGTGGAGTGAGGGAAGCCCTACACCAGTGTCCTGCAGTCAGGGGGTAAAGAACTCTTCTCTTCCAGGGATCCATCCGTTTCCAAATCCATTGAAAGAATCTTCAAAATCTGGGAGGACAGAAACGTGTATCCTGAGGAAACCATTCTGGCACTGAAAGAAGCATTGAGTAAGTTCCTTACCCTTTGCATTTCTCACCTTACAAACCGCCACGTGAGCTCGCTGGAGTTGTAGAAATAGGCTGGGGTCACTGAGCGGAATGAGGGGCATTTGCACCTGGCACAGGCTGTAACGTAGCCAGGTGTGGGACGTGAGCCGCGCCGGATTCTCCTGCTTTACCCCTTTTGTACCTTTCTTAAGGCAGCTGTGAATTCTTTCCTGTGAGCTGGAACTGCTCCAGCTGAGAGCAAGCAGAATGTGAGGCTGAAATGGTCCTGCAGGTCCTGAGCAGGGTGCTCTGGCTCCACCTCCAAGTCCTGTTCAGTGATAGGTGCTTTAACTAATTATTCTTGTGGGGTAGGAAGAGGCAGAAGCAAAGCTGGAGGGTGAAGAGTTTTCAAGTCCCCAGGGAAGGAACACATGGAGTTGTTAAAACCAGGAATTAGCAGTGCAATACTTGAAGGAAATCAGTCCAGGTTTTGGCTTTGCTCACATCATTAAGAGCTGAAGGTGCTCAGGAAGCCCTCAGGTGTGCTCTGAGGGTCAGCAGCAGGAGGAATTGTGGTGTCTTGGGTTGGGCTGTGCATGAGGACAGGCTTGAGCTGGGTGTTGCATGCTGAGAAGTGACGTTTGTGCTTTTGCTCTGAAATCGCTCATTTCTGTAACTTGAAAACAGGGTCTGTGAGGTTTCAGGTAAATCAGGAATTGTGGCTGCTTTCCCTGTGGGCAGCACTTGTCTGTTCGATGTTGATTCCGTTACAGCCTCCCTAAAGAGTTTCATTTTTAGATTCCTTGTGTTTTCCCTTTTTACTGTGATTTTTGAACTGCCTTAGTGTAAGGGCAAACAGAAACTTGATTTAAAAATGGCAGACCACCCCCAGGTTGCTGCATTCCTGAGTAAACTGAGGTTCTCTTGGGCATCCAGCAGCTCCTCTAAGGAAGTTGGTCGAGGTATTTTAAAACAAATTTCTGTTCACTCTTTCACCGTGCAACTGTATGGCACCAAAAACCAGTTTTGACAGGAATCCCATAATGCCAGACTGCCAAAAATGAAATGTTTTCCAGGTACCACTTTCAAAACTCAGAAGCAGCTGAAAGAGTCTCTGAACAAACCGAATAAGCCGTGGAAGAAATCACAAAGTAAGGAACCACTGTGAACTCTGTGCACTAATGCAGAAATTGGCTGCTCGAGGAGCAGAAAGGCTGAGCCCAGCAGGGGCTGAGCCAGCAGGCTCAGAAGGGCCCCAAGATGTGCACACCAAGGAGATGTTGGTAGAAAACAACTTTGTAAAGAAAAGAAGTGAGGCAAAAGTAAGATATGAGAGCAGAGATTGTGGACAGGAGAGGAAAGAGCTGGTGGAACCTCTTGGAAACTGCTCTTAGGCCGGTCCGAGGTGGAGAGAAGACAGAGAGAAGCAGGAGATTCCCTTTGTGCTCAGAACACTCCTGCCCCAGCAGGCTGGGCTGGGAGGAGGAACCTGGAGCTGGGAGTGCAGGGACAGGATGTGACAGTCCAGAACCCAGAGCAGCAGGAGACAGTTTATTATAACAGAGTGACCTTAATGATCTCATTTTGCACCAACACCCTGAGTGGTCCCCACAAGAGGTGGTGAGATGTCAGGTATGACGTGTGGGACATCAGGTGTGACAAGTGGCACAGGGTGACATCAGAAGGTTAAAAGAGTTGGGGAGTGTTTATTACTGGGCTTCACACCAGAAGCTGCTTTCCCATACAGAACTGGGCTGTATCCAGCGTGGATGGAGGGTTTAGTGCTTTGCTTCTCATCAGCTCATTTCTTCTTTCCTGTTTCTCCTGTTTTGTCCAGAATCTGATGGATTTGGTCTCTTGGCAGCAGGACTTGTCCCCCCACCCTGTAACCAGGTGTGACAGTTGTTCAGGCTCTGAGCATGGTCAGACCTAGGAAGTGCCCATGGGAGACCCTGCCCAGGAAACCTGGGCTCCATGTCAGCTCCAGGTCTGGCACTTTGGGAATAACATTCCCTTCCTTGTAGAGAGCTGTAACTCCTTGGGTAAGGCTGTTAGATTGACCATTGCAGGGACTTGTCTTCCTGATGGAAAAGGTGTGCCCAGGAAATGTTCAGAGCATGTTAAAAAGCAGCAGTGTCACTTGTTGAGCTCGGTCCCAACCCAGCCGTGCGTGTCCACGTCCCCATGAGCTGCCAGGAGCCCGGAGCACTGAGGGACACATGCATGGAGGGGAGGATGTGACGGGTAACACATGAAGTTTTCTTAAAATATCTTTCATTAGGCTGCCTTTTGTGACTGACTTTCCACTGGGATGCGGTTCCTTCATTTCTTCACTGTTTTCCTTTATCCCCACAGCCTCCACAAACCCGAAAGCTGCTCTGAAGTCCAAGATTGTTGCTGAATTCCGAGTAAGTCTGTGAGTGGAAGTGACCCATGGCACTGCCCCCCACCTTGGGGGCTTGTGTGTGGGGTGACCCCAGGCCCAAGAGCCACTTGTGATGTGGAGGCTGTGGCACCCATGGGGCTGACACGGGGAGGGTCTGGGCAGGCTCAGGACATCCTTGTGAAGAGGAGTTTGGGGTGGCTGAGGAGTTTGTCCTCAGGCCCAGAAATTGGTCTGAATTTGGTCCCCTGACAGAGTGGGACATGTTAATGAAATGCCCCTGCAGAGTGAAAGGAGAAGTAAATAAAAAAGATCTTCAAAAGATCTCTTAACCAGGAGATTTGTGGAATTGCAGCTCCTGCCTGAGCCCAGGTTTGTTCATTGTGAGATTGGAGGTTAAAAATCCCGAGATCCACGTGGTTCCTGGGTTAGCTCTCGCTTGGAAGTAGTCTGGAACCAGAGGGGAGGTAGGTCTGCTCTTCCCTGGAATGTGATGAGGAGGCTTTTCCTGTTTGCTTTTTCCAGCCCCAGTCCCTGATTGATGAGCTGCTGTTGTACAAGCGCTCGGAAGATCAGATAGAACTGAAGGAGAAGCAGCTTTCCACTATGAGGGTGGATGTCTGCAGCACTGAGACACTCAAGTGCTTGAAAGGTAAAGCCTCGAGGGCACCAAAGGTGGTGTGGGATCTCCTCAGTTCTGCTGAGATGGGAAATTCCAGAATTTGTGTCTGGAAAATGCCAGAATTTGAGAGTGGGGTTAAGAACCAGCAATCAGAAACCAAAAATCTTGGTTAGTTTGAGTTTCTATGAAAACTCTCAAGTGCAGAGCTCAGACCAAGCAAATGACTGAAAACCAAGACTCTGCCAGCAGCCAGGCCTCCTCCTTGCCAGTGCCAGTGGATGAGCAGGGTGGTCTGGGAGTGTGCAGCTCCCCTGTCCCAGTATCCTGGTGCTGCCGTTGAGGCCACACTTCTGTGGTTTGGCATGTGGCAGTTCATTTCCATGGTGTTCATCTCCCTGCAGATAAAACAGGAGGGAAGAAGTTCTCCAAGGAGTTTGAAGAAGCGAGTTCAAAGCTGGAGGAATTTGTCAATGGCTTGGACAAGCAAGTGAAGAACGGCCCCTCGCTCACGGAGGCGCTGGAGAACGCCGGGATATTCTACGAGGCACAGTACAAAGAAGTCAAGGTGGTGGCAAATGTAAGTGTAAGATCCTTTCTGGATCCTCCCCAGGGGGAACAGCACCTGCCTGTGTTCACCTCGGACGCTCATCTCTCTATTCCCTAATAAAAACGTTGGTGGGATTGGTGGAAGGCTGGTTTCCAAATAGAGCAGAATGGAGGCTTTGGGCAAGGCAAGGGTGTGCTCTCAAAATCCAGCAGCTGGATGCTCAATTTGTGTGTGTTGCTGGAATGCCTTCTAGATTCTTAAACAGGGCAAAATTACAGTTATTGTGACAAATCCTGAATTCTGGAAACTTGGGATTTATGTGAGAACTAGACGAGCAAAGAAAGGACAGTAATAAAGAGTTACAAAAACAATCAACGCCCTCCAGACCCTTCCAAAAGCCCCAAATGGGCATTTGTTAAATACAGAGGGGGTTATGAAAATTGTTTAAAGTCAGTGGAAAAAGGTTTTATCCTCTCAATTTTTGTGGTTGTTGCCCTGTGAGAAGCAGAGTTCTTACCACAGCAGGGTCCAGGGATTTGGAATTGTTTTCCTCAGGCTGTGTGTTGCTTCCTTAAGGAAGTGACTGAGGCATGAAAGATCCCCAGTCCAGTGTCTTTCCTTCCTTAGGCCTATAAAACATTTGCTAACCGAGTGAGCAATCTGAAGAAAAAGCTGGACCAGCTGAAAGCAACCCTTCCTGATCCCGAGGAGTCTCCTGTCCCTTCTCCCAGCATGGATGCTCCATCTCCCACGGGCTCCGAGTCCCCTTTCCAGGGGATGGGGGAGGAGAACAGCGCCCGCTCCCCAGCAGCTGGAGGCCGCAAGATGGTTTCTCCAGAGCCTGCCACAGATAATCGGGATGTGGAAGACATGGAGCTCTCTGATGTAGAGGACGATACGTCTAAAATCATTGGTATGTCCCGTGGGAATTGCAGGACTAACCAGCCTTTTCCAGCTTCATTTGGGATATGGAGGAGGCACAAAGCCTGGGCTGTGGGTTCTGGCTGTTGGGTTTGAATCTTCTGGCAGGGAGTGCCAGTCCCACTGCAATCATTTCTATCTCCCAAACACTTACCAAAGATATTTTTACATCTGTGGGAGTCAGACCTGATATTCCCTGAGTCTTTTTGGGGGCACTGAGCGACCTTTCTGCTCTTGTTCCACCCTCTCTGCTGCAGTGGAGGAGAGGAAGGACAAACAGACTGCTCCAGCCCCCGTCAAGGCTGAGAGTGTCCCCAAAGCGGTGCCATCAGCTGCTGCGGCTGCCACAGCCTCGGGGACAGTGGCGACACCAGCCCCGGCCCCTCCGACGCCCCCGGCTCCAAAGGTGGTGAGCACAGCTCCTGTCCCTCCGGCACCAGCGCTTGCCTTACCCAACCTGGCCAACGTGGACCTGGCCAAGATCAGCTCCATCCTGAGCAGTCTGACGTCGGTGATGAAGAGCACAGGTGAGTGCTGAGCCGGGCTGTGGCCACCGGCACTAACGGAGCTGGGATTATTTAATTAAAGCTTTAATTGTCTCAAAATAAATGTGTTACTGCTCTGCGAGGCCTGGCTCAGTGTCTGGCACATGGTGTCGCTTCCTGAGCCTCTCCTTGCTCATGCTCCGTTGTGCCTGTGGGAAACCCTGAGTCAAAAGCAGCACAGGCATTGCCAGAGCAGTGCAGGTGAGTGGTGTGTGCTCCTGCCCCAGGTGTGAGTCCCGCCTCGAGACCTTCACCAGGGACCCCGACCAGCCCTACAGCTCTCACCAGTGGCCTGAAGACTCCTGTCCTGGGAGCCCCGTCTGCTCCTTCGAATCCATTAGCAAATATTCTCTCCAAAGTTGAGATAACTCCGGAAAGCATTTTGTCAGCTCTCTCCAAAACGCAGACTCAGACGGCGCCAGCGCTGCAAGGTACTGGGGTGGGTGTTGGGGAAGAGCTGGCAGGTATCTGAGGGCAGTGGCGGGGCTGAAACGTGCTGCTCTGCTTGTCCTAAAGTGAGAACAGAGGGAGAAGAACTTCATTGGAATGTTTTCCGCCTCTGGCACGTGTCGATGGTCTTTCTCAGGTAGCACAGGTGTCACGGACCAGTGAGCACAGGAAGTGTCACTTCCCTGTGCTCCTGCTTGAGCTGTGGCCAAAGCACACGTATCTGGAACACTCCCTGAACAGGACAAGAGACCAGGAGGTCTCTGTGTTTTCTATGTGCAGAAATCTGCCCAGAGGTTCTGCTCCCACTCTGACACCTCGCCAGGGTCACCTGGCCAGCAGGGCAGGGTTTCCCACTCCTGGCTGCAGACCAGGACGAGTTCTTACCCACCTGACTTGATGGCGTAATTTATATTTGTAGATCAATCCAAGCCTCTGGCATAAGGTTGCACCTCATGTCAGAGCAGCAAAATGCAGTTCTCTCCATGGCTGGAGACTGGGGGGTGTAAAGGAACGGTGTCCGCCGTGCAAACACAGGAGCCTTTCCCACGGCAATGGCTTGGGGTGATTTGCCTCTGCCCTCAGTACCTGATGCAGCAGTTGTGTTTTCCAGGGCTGTCATCCTTGCTGCAGAGCGTGGCTGGAAACACTGTTCAGTCAGGAGAAGCTGCCTCGCAGAGCACCTCGGCATCGCCAGCCAACACAACTGTGCCGTGCATGAAGGGGAGGAATGCTCCTTCCAATCCGCAGTCCTTTATAGCCAAAAGTTTTGGTTATTCTCCAAACTCGACCACCGCAGAGGTGTCCTCCACTTCAGTCAATAAGGCTCCCGTCGGACATACCCCAGCATTGTCAAGCTCTGGTTTTAAGCCACCAACTAATTCCCTGGGATTTTCCAGTTCCCACCCTACCAGTCCTTCCTCCCTTTTGCCAACAGAAACCTCACTGGGTCAATCCTCTGAAATTTCAAAAGCCAAGCTGGAATCAGAACCCCCTTCTCCCAGCTTGGAGATGAAGATACACAATTTCCTGAAGGGAAACCCTGGCTTCAGTGGGCTGAACTTGAATATTCCCATCCTCAGCAGCTTGGGGTCCAGCATGGCAACGGAGAGTCACACCTCTGACTTCCAGCGTGGTCCCACCAGCACGTCCATGGACAATGTGGACGGGACACCAGTGCGCGATGAGCGCAGCGGGACGCCCACCCAGGACGAGATGATGGACAAGCCAACATCCAGCAACGTCGACACGATCTCCCTGCTGTCCAAAATCATGAGCCCCGGTTCTTCGACTCCCAGCAGTACAAGGTCACCTCTGCAGGGCCGGGATGATGGATATTCCCAAGAACTTCCCAGTTCTGTGCACGGCTACCGGCCCTTCGGTCTCGGCAGAGAGTCCCCAGCCAGCCTGTACAAGCCGCCTGCGGACAGCAGGGAGATGCCCTCCTCCTTGATGGACTCCTCCCAGGAGAAGTTTTACCCAGACACATCTTTCCAAGAAGACGAGGATTACCGTGACTTCGACTACTCCGGGCCGCCGCCCTCAGCCATGCTGAACCTGGAGAAGAAGCCGGTCAAGTCAATCCTGAAATCGAGTAAGCTCCCAGATTCTGCTGAGTACCAGCCGGTGCTGTCCAGCTACGGTCAGCGGTCACAGGAGTTTGGCGTGAAGCCGACCTTCCCCCCAGCCATGAGGTCTATCCTGGATCAGAGCGAGAGCTGTGACCCGCTGGCCTCGTCCCCAGGGATGTTTGGGAGCTACGGCCGCAGGGGGAAGGACTCGGCCTCGGATGGGTCCCCGTCGCCCAGCAAGAACGACGTGTTCTTCACGCCGGACTCCAATCACAGCACCCTGCCCAAACCCGGCCTCCCGCAGAAGCAATACTCGGACTCGCCCCACGCGCTTCCCCACCGCTCGCTCTTCTCTCCCCAAAACGCCCTCCCCAGTCCCGTCAGCCGACCACCCGCGGCGGGCGGGGACAAACCCATGGGTTCCTCCATCTCTGCCACCTCCACCATTGAGTTCAAGAACATGCTCAAAAACGCCTCCCGGAAACCCTCCGAGGAGAAGCATTTTGGGCAGATGCCCAAAAGCAGCTCGGGTGAGGTGGGGAGCTTGTCTGGGGCTGTGAAGGGCGAGCCGCAGCCGCCGGAGGAGCACTACCGCATCGAGACCCGCGTCTCCTCCTCCTGCCTGGACCTGCCCGACAGCACCGAGGAGAAGGGGGCCCCCATCGAGACGCTGGGCTACCACAATGCCTCGAGCCGCGGCATGTCGGGGGAGCCGATCCAGACCGTGGAGTCCATCCGGGTGCTGGGCAAGGGCAGCCGGGGCCACGGGCGTGAGGGGAGCCGGGCGGGCTGGTTCGAGCTGAGCAGCAGTGGGAGCGCCTTCGACAACGGGCCCTCGGGCTCCTCGGAGCTGCCCGGCATGGGCGGCTTCCCGGCGCCCTACAAGGAGCACGTACCGCCCTTCCCGGAGAGCGTCAAC